AAATATTTAAATGTTATCAAATATTAGAAAACATGTATTTGTTTGATTATGGAAATATAAATTAAAACTCCCCAAATATACTGTAGAAGATTTATGCATCTATAGTGTATAAAAGGATTAGGGATTCCTTCCTCCCCCTTCTTCCTTTATCTTGAGGAAGAAATAGTCAGCTTGAGCTTTAATTTTTAACAAGTTAGAAAAAGGAATCTTTTTACATATCTACTAAATTAAAATTTCTATTGTTAAATGCCTAAGTTTTTAAGTCACTTGGTTTCCTAGATACTTCAATGGAATCAGCAGATATTGATCCAACCCCAACTCCAAGACTAGAGCGTCGTAATGATAGTTCCAAGGCAGAAATTTGACGTAATTCTTTGCGACACAATTTTACAGGTGTAACACCATGAAGTTGTCCCACATTTCCCACAGGTTGAATTTGGGATGATGGTTGACAGTGAGATTTTGTAAACTGATTTTCATCCGTTTCTGTTTTATCCCCATTGCTTAACAAATGCCCACTGGGGGGTGCTAAAGAGCTATAAATTGGAGGTAATTCTGTGAGATCTTCCCCAAACTTCTGAGGATTTGGTTGTGTTCTTAAACTGCTTGCTGAACTGTCTATTTCTATTTCTCTTCCACTTAATTTCATACTTTCAGTCCTGGATGCCCATTTTAAGTCTTCTGAACGCATGCCTGCTTCTTCTGGGTTTAGGACTCCATCTTTAGCATCATGATCTAAAAATAATCCCAAAACCAAAAAATTAGAGATTATTTCCTCAAAACTGGATATTTTTATCCTAATATCCTAACACAGCTACATTGTTATAACTTGATATACATACATACATGATGTTTTTCAACTTTTTTGTTAAATGACTCCTTTTAGATGAACAGATGTATGAATGTGAATTATTTACTTCTTATTCTTATTTAGGCACCTTCCATGTGAATAACTCAGAACTTTAATTCATGGAACAAAGTTGAGAAATAGTCTTCTAGGGATTTTGGTACTCCCTGGAAACATAGGAGTGGCTCTAGGCTTCTCTGCTGTCTTTCCATGACTGCCCTCTGTTGGGCTTGCCACTAGTGAATTCCAAATCCTGGCCAAGTGAAGCAGCACTAGATAATATTAGCTCTGCTCCGTATCTCCAGGGAAACCTCTGGGACTTGGCATTATATGTGTGAAAATCTGGTCCTGGTTGGCACTCCCACCATAACAGGGTTCTGCTGTCCGAATGTACTCTGGAATGTGTGCCACAACTTCCACCATCAAAATAAAGATGAGAGCATACCCCTTCAAATCAAATAATACCTAATATCAAACACAAAGACCTGCTTAAGAAAAATCTCTACAGGTACTACACCTAATATGATGAAAAATGCCAACTTTAACATATGTTGATACATGCTTAACATACTTTTAGTCTTGTGAAGATAAGGTTTAAAAACAGAGGTTGCACATTAGCAAATCCCAAGCCAAATCTAGCTCACAGACATGTTTTACTTGGCCTACAGTGTTCATAATACTTGACCCAAAATGTAAAAATTGGCAAGTTTCATATAAAAATACAGATTTCCAGCTTTTCTAGAGAGGTTAGAAAAGCTAACAATTTCTGAATAGCAACAACAGCTGGAATAGAGTTGCCACTGCCAGTTTAGATGACTGCTGCGGTCCCCACCACGCACCTTGGCTTCCCCAGCTCCTGTAGGCACTCTAGTTTATAACCCTTAGTTTAAAACATAACTGACTTTCTAGTTTTTAAAATTCTCTCAAAACAAGCAACCTGAACTAGCAAATAACATAGATCCTCACATGGAACTAAAACAGATACAAAGTTGACCACAGACAGTGGCTCCCAAACTTTGTTGTACATTAGAGTCACTGGGAAGCTTTTAAAAATCCTGCCTCCCAGGTCACGGTGTCTGGGGAAAGGAGCAGGTGTCTTATTTTGTAAAGATCGTATGTGAAGAAGCAGAAATGAGTTCGTTGTCAAGGCTCACTGCAAAGCCCACTTGGATTCTTCACAATAGGAAGTTTCCCTCTTCCAGAATTTTACAATTGAGGGAAAAAACTAGGGAAAGATCAATTTGCCCAAGATCACAACAAGTAAAAGTAGTTAGGATTCCAACCCAGATTCTTATACATATGGTTTGACAGTGATTTAAATTGATGTAAGGATAGTTTTAAATAAAAGTAAAGAGACTGTATATTCATATAAACTGATATTATCCTGATAAAATGTTAGAAAACAGATGCATTATAACAGAGGTATGACCACCAAGTGGACCAAAACACTTTAGTCAAGATTAATTTTTCCGCTATTTGAAGATACCAAAAGTATTTTTATGGTAGGCAGACAATGAAAAGACGACTGTCAAAAAACTCAATGAACTGAAGATAAAGACAGTTATATATTAATTATATTAATATTGATTATTAAATCAATGTCTTATGTAAGACATTTCAGGGAATTCAAGAATTTGATATATTTAAATTGCTATATTTTATAATTCAAACAAACCTCGTTTAATGTCATTATATTAGAGTAGCATTATGAGATAGGATATAATATAAACTATATATCCCCAATATGATTGTAATTGTATTTTTTTTAAAGTATGGGAAACTATGAAAAGAATTATGGATTATGGGTGACAATTTCTGCTTGTTTCCTGTATTTTCAAAATTTTTGTAATGACTGTATACTACTTTTTATTTTTATTCATTCATTCATTTATTTATTTATTTTTGAGACAGTGTCTTGCTCTGGTACCCAGGCTGGAGTACAGTGGCCTCATCATAGCTCACTGCAACCCCAAACTCCTAGGTTCAAGTGATCCTCCTGCCTCAGCTTCCTGAGTAGCTGGGATCATAGGGTCGCACCACCACACCCAGCTAATTTTTTTATATTTTGTAGAGACAGGGTCTTCGCTCTTGCTAAGGCTGGTCTTGAACTCTTGACCTTAAGCAATCCTCCCACCTTGGCTTCCCAAAGTGCTTGGATTATAGGCGTGAGCCACCACGCCTGGCCAAAAGGGGTTTTTTTAAAAGCTAAAGGTCTTGTTAACTGTTCTCTGTTTCTTACTTAATACCTGTTTACTTTTTAATTTTTTACAAGTAGAGTTTCAAGTAAAAGTTATAGCTATGTATTGTAGGCAGTATTTCAAGTAAATGTTTGAGTTGTGTATCAGTAAGCACATCTACATTACTACACTGAGAATGAGAAAATTTAGTGTTTTGGGCTGGATTTGTACATATTTTTGTGTCATAGCTCTATCTTAAAACAACTTCTATCCTAGAATACTGAACCAGGAGTCAGAAGATGAGGGACTTAGCCCATGTTTTAATTACTGTTTTGTTTCTGAGTCAGTTGGACTCTCTAAGCATCAATTCCCTTGTCTAAAATTAGAGTTAGCAGATACCAGCTTACCCTTAGTTGGAGGGTTAAATGGAATTATTTGTGAAAATGTCTGTAAGTGATATATATCATAAATATAAGGTAGCATTAGAACTACTTTTCTAGGCCAGGAGTGGTGGCTCACGCCTGTAATCCTAGCACTCTGGGAGGCCGAGGTGGGCAGATCGTTTGAGCTCAGGAGCTTGAGACCAGCCTGAGCAAGAGCGAGACCCCGTCTCTACTAAAAAA